CGTCTATTTCCCCGGAGGCAACGCTACTGTATTTCGTTGCCAGCCAGAGACAGACGTGAATAGGCTCGGTTCAACTCGTCGCCTGAGTCACTAGATGATCTCGCAAAAACTCGAGTCGCTGGACAACTCGTCTTGCCGACGGTCGCGCGTTTGGGTCTCGCTGCCACATGTCCCGAACGATCTGAAGATACCGTAGGTACGTAGAGCAGAAAACAAAAACACACACACACACATAAGCGCAATAGAGACAAGCGCAACGGAGGGAAGAAGCACGAAAGAGAGAGACATTGGTCAGCCGGTTAGCGCGGTCGAAGTTATTTAGTGTAGAAACAACACAGAGGAGCGGATGGGAGGAGAAAGAGGAGCTGTTTGAGGCACAACAAGTTCGACCGACAAAAGGGACAAGGAGTGTCCCGACCAAACGCTGGATTGCAACAAGCAGCAACGGCCCACACAGCCAACACCAACCCCTTGCCTTTCGACAGGGATATTTTACCAACGGTAACCATCACGCCGAGACAAGTGTCCGAAGGGTCTACGTCAGGCAAAAAAAACAAAAAAAAAACAATCTGCGGACAACGCAACCTCGGACTTGATTGAGCATTTCGGCGTCGGTCATCTCGACGGCTTCTCACGGCATGTCGAAGACGGGCAAAGCTTCGAAAAGCGGCCAGAGACATAACGTGTCTGCGTGAAGAACAGTGCGGGCCTATGGTAATAGCCCAGGGTGGGTGGCTTGCTTATCTCCAAGTGTGCATCTCCGCACATCCTCAAGAGCAACTCGCGGTGTCGGCGTTTCACCCTCAACTACGGCGTCGCCCACAAGGTACCAAGAAGAGGTCCGGGCGATCCTTACATCTAGGAAACCCGGGTGCCACGAGGGATCCGTCGGCGGCGGAATTCCGTCCTTGATGTTGCCACTAGCGTTCCGCACGCCCTGGTACGGGGGGTGCAGCGCCAGCATCGAGTAGAACACCATGGCCAAGCTGTAGATGTCCAGCTTTTCGTTCAGATTCTGACGACGGTTTTTCGACGACGACGAACGACACAGGGGGGGGGGGGGGGGGGGGGGGGGGGGGAGAGGGGGCCCGCGGGCCCCCCCCTTTTTGGCCCCAAAAAAAGGGGGTTTAACCCCCCCCAACCCGCATGGGGGGGGCTTTTTTTTTTTTTTTTGGGACGGGTTTAAAAAGGGGTTCGGGGGGGGGGGGGAA